CAATACACATACCATATCCCTGTCCTGTCTCCATTTTCCTTTCATTATTTTATCACGAGAATAATTATAATAATCACCTATTGTGAGTAGCGACAGGTTACTCACGCTACCAAAAATCAAAGCAGAGCAGATACTCAAATCTATACTAGTAGGACTTATAGGACAGATATATTTATGCATGTGGTTTTCATAAATTTTCTGTAACGTAAATACACATTTCATATATATATTCAGTAATTATAAAAAATAAGGGTTATGCACCGGGGCTTGCCTTGGGCAAGCGCGGTGTCAGCTGAGTCAGTCAGTGGCGGCTCTAGAACCTCCTCCTTCACGAGAATCTCCTCGTACTCCTCGATTATCTCCTCGACCTCGTGATCACCGGTGGTCACGATCTCCGCCAACTTGTTCTCTACATGCATACGATGATGATGCAACACTTAGTATTTAAGCAACAACAACTCCTAAACTAAGAATACGCATACTAAGCTACTAAGCTATCTCTAATGACTAAGGTGCTAAGCTAACTATCATCTTTACCAAGCAAAGTGTTGGATTCAACTAACAAACACGTAGCTTTACAAATAAAGGATATATCTTTATTTCCACTATTGATTTAATGTATATTGAAAAAAGAGCATTTAACTACCCTAATGTTTAGTCTATTCTAAAGCTACAAAAATTACAGTGAGCACATAATAATATAATGAAGCTACTATAAAAATTTCAGGACTAAAGCTATCATTAATTTATCACAAAAATTCCTACAATAATTAACTTAATAATATTAAGCACTATCAAATAATTTAATAGCTCCTGGTATCAACATGTATATATATGAACTAAATATACTAATAGATATAGCATAATTTTAGAAACCTAACAAAATTTGTTTCACAAATTTTGGACACCTACATGATTTTGTATAATTTACCAAAGCTCAGCTCAAAAAATAAATTAGAAACCTATTTGTAATTCATTATGAAAAAGAAAAATGAATTCTCCCGCGCGGCCCACGCGACACAGCGCGCGCGACGGCCCACAGGCGCGGCCCATGCGAGGCCGGCCCACACGGAGACGGCCCGTGCCGAGGAATCCCGCGCGTCGACGACTTTGCAAAAGAGACCTCGAACTTCTTCTGAATCACAACTAAATCCTAACGCTATTTTCGCTTCTCTCAGAACTTCTCACTTAATCCCCTAGCCTTTCCCTAATTCACCCGCGCGCACCCCCGGCGACCCAGCGCACGGCGACGCGGCGAGTGGCGGCACTAGGCGCCTACGCCGTCCACCTAGGACCTATGCGGGCCCACCTAACGAGTCGATCACCATCTCCGATCTTGGTGGCTACGCTAAGCGACGGTGAGGGGTGGCGGGATGCGCTGGAGCGAGCTGCAGCGACGCACGAACATCCGCGACGGTGGCGCAGCTGCCCCGACGATCTAGAGCACCTAAAAACCTAACTAGCTAGCGAGGGAACATCAGTAGACTACCGTGGACCTAGCCGAGGTGACGGTTGGGGTGGAGGATGGCAGAGGAGGGCTTGCCACGTGCGGCCGAGCCGTGCGGCGGCGCACTGCGGCAGCACGATCGCGTCAGCGACGACAGGGAGGCAGTAGCATTTCCGTTGACGTGCGCAAGGTGGAGAGGGAGGCAAGGCGAAGCTAGTGGTGCACGTGAATGGGCTCGAGAGGGACGGTAGGAGGGCTGCCCACATCCACACCCGGACGCGGCCTTATCGGCACGGTGGCGGGGAAACTCCAAAAGTGGAGCTCGACCAAGCGCCATTCAAGGCGAGGTGGGGACGGATAGCTAGGCAGCTTGATGTCAGAGCCAACAACGCGACGAATCGACTTAAGGTGATCTCTCCCTGATGAATTTCATGGTGCGGCTCGGCGGCGGCAGCAGAGGGAGAAAGAGAGAGACGGGGTGTGGCAGGTGGGCTCGGCTCATCCTCGCCTTGGTGGGATACGGTCGGCATGAACATGGAGGCCCACGCGCAGGTGCAAGCAGATAGGCACGTGCGTTTATGACCGGCGTGGCCCGCGCGCCGCAGTGCCATTAATGACAAATCGACAGCGAGCCCGACCACGTGCGCGCGGCAGAAGTGTCATTGCACTAGACCGGCAATGGCGCAGAGATGCAGAGGGAGGCACAAACATGACGGCGAGGCAACGGCACCAGCAACGGCTACGTCGTGGCATGGGGCGAGTCGCAGCGCGGCAGGGCCGGTGGCAGCACCGCCCAGCTGCGCAAGAAGCAGCGACGGCTCCGCGCGCCAGGAGCCAGCGGTGGCTAGGCCACAGCCAGGACAGAGCAGCCGTGGCCAGCCACGCGTAGCTGCGCGCATGTGCACGGCACATCCGCCGTGTCGACGCCGAGCGCCCGAGCGTGGTGACCGCGCCTACGCGGCCAACCAGCTCGAGACCGTGTCGTGCACGAATTTTAAAGCGCCCAAAACGACTAAACGGTTGCTTCAGGATCCAAACTATCTTCACCATGCTCAAGATGGCATATGAGACTACCAAATCGAGCTATAACACTGCCCCACCCCTTAACCCAATCTCTCAAAATAATTTGCTAAACATAGCAATGTTTAGCGGTTGACAAAGTTGGAAATTTTTCTAAGTTTTGAGCTGAACTTGATTTCAATTTGCAATTTCTGGGCTAGTAGAAATATTAGCTAGTAATATCATTTTTTGACAGTAAGTATTTCACTATCATCTACAAAGTTTGTACTTTAAACTTTATTTAATATCACACACATGTTCTATAGTATTTTTGCTTAATAAAAATTGGTTTTCAACCCTACTTAATATACATGAGCTATTGAATCAACTTTCATTTAGCATTTTTATTGATCATTTTAAATTATAAGAAATTTATCTACACATTCTATCACATGCAGTAACACATAAACATGATGCTTATGATATGTTTTAGTAAATGATTTACGGTGCCTATCCGATGCGAATAGAACGAGCACGCCCCGCGTCTGAAAACGAGCATGCCCCTGTGTGCGGCCCGTCCCTCGCTGCGCTGCCGTGCCTCGTTGCGTCGCCATCCCCCGCCATGCCGTCATCCCCTACGCGCCCTTTGCCCTCCACGCCCCATCCCCACCGTGCTCCATCACCCCGAATGTCCAATGAGAAAATTTTCCATCGGAAGGATATGTTGCAACATGGAGCAATGCGAGATGCAAACATCAAAAGTATTACCTCAGAACAAGTCTACTACAACATTAGAACAAGACGACTGCAACAACAGAACAAAGCTACTGCAATGCGAGATGCAAGATTAAAAAAAAGAGACTAATGCAACAAAGAAATATTATTTGTTGCAACATCAGAACAAGGCTACTGCAACAAAACAGAACAAAGGGCAATGCGAGAAAGCAACATCAGAAAAAAGACTAATGCAACAAAGAAATATTACTTGTTGCAACATCAGAACAAGACTACTGCAATGCAAGATGCAACATCAGAAACAAAAAAAGAGACTAATGCAACAAAGAAATATTACTTGTTGCAACAGCAAAACAAGGCTACTGCAACAGAGCTCGTTGGAACCCTAGCCACCGCCGCATCCCTCGAATCCAGAGGAGAAGGAGGAGGGCTCAGATCCAAAGAACGAGGAGGAGTGCTCAGATCCAGAGGAAGAGGAGGAGGAGGGCTCAGATCCAGAGAAGAACCGACCTACCTCATCGGAGCCGCTGTCATCGTCCTCGTCTCCGATGGGAGGAGCAGGAGCCGTGTCTCTGGGGGTGCAGGGTACCAATGGAGATCGCGGGAGGGGAGGAGGGAGGGAGCACCGGCGGACGGGTGGGACGGCAGCGAACTGGGCGCGGCGTCCGTCCCGCCAGGCGGGGCGGCAGTAGAATGGACAAGAACGGTTGTGGGAGTGAGCGAGGAGAGGATAAGGATGAGTGCGGGAGACAGCATCCGGGAGATGGCGTGCGGCAGGGCAGGTCGGTGCGGCTCGGCTTTCGATGCATTCGTTCCCGTCCGGACGGCCGTCATATATCGTTATCGTTTCATTTTTCCTGTGTTGTGTCCACGGCTCCATGCCCACACAAACTGTCAAATCTGGGTGGTGGATCTTTCTATTAGGCCCAGCAGTCTGGCTGTAAGTAATCATTAATTGATCGATTATTATTAAAGAAGGAACCCACAGCAAGGAAGGAAGGAGAGTAATTAAATGCCAGGCAGGCATACGTGGGCCTGAGATCACCTCGAGCGATCGTTTCGGTCGTCTGTGATCTTGGGCTGCGCCCCTTTTCAGCCCGATAAGTGAGTGAGTGAATGAAATAGAGCTCCCTCATTTCCCCTAAAAAAAACAAAAGAAAAAAGTAGAGCCCCCATCGTCCAGATTCCAACACCTATCAGCCTGTTCGTTTTGTCATAAATCATCGTGGATTATTTACTACTGGCTGATTTGGTGTAAGAGAAAAATAATATTCTAACTTATAACCCACGATCATATACGAGCGAGCGAACATGATGTATTTTTACGTGAAATCCAACCGATCTCTTATATTTGCCTCCCACTCTTACGTACCTCTATTTCATTCAGATCTTATAACCAGTATTTTATGCTTCACGTGGGATAACAGAATAAGACACATCCAAATCAATCTCACTGCTGCCAAAAATTTCAGTCTTAGCTGTCCATTTTCAAATTTTCATCTTCCTACCTAAAAAAAACACAAGTTGAATGAATTTTATTCTGAACCTTTACAACAGCAAACAATGTATTTGTCTGCACCACAAGATTACATGTCCTCTCCCGCAAATCCTCGTCTGGTATAACCCACGACGATTGCCCGCAATGCATCGCATCAAAGCTCAAATTGAATGTTCCGAGGCGCTGCTTCACCAGGTCCCTTGCAATTTTGGTGTACTCCTGCAATACGCTTATCATATGCCCACCGCCGTCGGCGAGCCGGCGTTAGTCGATTTCATCCCCGACGGGACCGGGGCTCTGCTGCCGCCTCTCCGCCCCTAGATGGCGAGACCGAGGCCTCGAATCCGCGCCGTACCGCGAGGCCCGGTGCTCCTCTTCCTCCTCGTCCCGCTCATCTACTCCGGTACGGACCTCTCCCTTCTCCCCTCCAATTCCCCCTCAGAATGAGGACGCCCGCCCCCTGATGATCCGATCCCGCGCTAGTAGTGTCCAGGCTGCACCCCTGGGCGCCGGCGGAGAAGGGCGTGTGCCTGCCACCCCCAACCGCGCTGAAGCGGCCTGACCGTCTCGTGCTCGGCCCCGCCGCCGGACAAGGCCGCCCCGACCGCCTCCAGTGCCAAGGTTAATCTTCTCTCTTCGGCAAGCTCCATTCGTGCTGAATTTAGTGGTTTTTGTGGAGGCTGCTGCTTAGATCTTAGTTTGAGGGGCGATTTGCAAAAATGGGACTCGAGTGTCATTTTTGCAATTTTTTCTAGTTTGAGACATCTAGGGCTGTCTGGACACAGAGGATTGCTTTTAAAATTGAGCAACCAGTACCAGTACCAATGTCATTGTGGCAGTGGATTTTTGTGTGTTGAGGGTACAAATTAACGTTCGATAGTCCATGTCCAACTAAAATGTCAAGAGTTGGCTCGCTTATGCATCATGCACTGGAAACGTTTTATTATGCTATCACAGGGTAATGTTTTTCTTTTCGAGAAAAAAAATGATAGGGATACGATTGTATGCTCATTCTGCATTGTGGCTCTGCCAATGTAATATTAGATTTTGTTGAGCTGGATTTACAGCCTAACAAACTGGAAGCTTTTGTTTTTCTGTGACAAGCATTGGGCAAAATCAGGATAAGAATGTTGCTTTTTGCAAAATCAGTTCATCAGGGGTCAGTAAAGTAATTTCTCTAATGCATTGCTTTGAACAGCATGTTTCAGATAATAAATCTAGAATCTTGATGTTCCACTTACATCTTAAACATGATATTCTGTAATCTTAACTTAATAGTGGTAGATTGCATTCTGTCTTTCTCAAATCAGTACCTCCATGCTGTTGGCACAACGTAACCTGGTGACTGAGTTCATATGACTGATAATGTTTCTCTCACTTTGCTCAGGACTTAGAGCTCTGAACAAGATTGACCTATCAAGTGAAGAGAACTATTCTGGAGAACACATTTCTTTTGTTACTGTATTCACAACCTACAATTCTGTCTCAGCTGGAGATGGCAAAGTTCCATCTGATTCTGTAACTGTTGGAAACCATTCTTATAGCAAAATAGAAAGATCCATGGCCATTCTGAACACTTTCATCAGTTTCATAAGGGTACTTCTTCCTTTTCTCTTAAGTTTGTGTGAATTTTGTTTACAGGTGGCAAGTTTAACACTAACACTTTGACGTGGCTCGAATAATTTTCTCTCTTGTGAATGATAGATTGCAAGACACCCCATATATTTGAATTAGAGTTGAATCTCTAGTTCCATCCCTATGTTTATGATAGCATATCCAGCATTTCAACTAAGATGTTCCAAGTCCTGCATTATTGCATGTTGTGAGTGATTGCTATCAAACACTAATGTTTATTAGAGTTACTAAACAAGTAAACAATTGGTACTTTCTTCCTGTTGTTGAGATTGTTATCCCGTGTGGTAGGAAAACATGAAAGTAATGCAATGAATGTGAATACTAACATCACTATCATAACCCTTTCTAGAAATGATGTATGAGTTCATGGTATTGTTACCTATGCCCCATAATAATTCAAATATCCCTTTTGCATCTTATTTGAAACTTAAAATATGCAGTGTGCTACATTAATTCCAACAAGAATTGTGATGTGAGTTATTTAACACCTGATCCTGTCTGTAGAGCCCTGCAGGTATCAATGCCAAGAAGCAACGTGATCATATTGACTGATCCTGGTTCAAAAATTTCAGTAAATCAAGGGAGTGCTACACTATTGCCTATTGAAGGAAACTATTCTCGAGGAAATTTGATGCTTCAAAGAATAAAGACATACATTGTAAGTCTATCACTCTATCAGCTTCATTTAGATCATTAAATTTTCTGCATATGCTTTCTCAAAATTACTTCTTATGTGATCCATGTATTACTGCTATCGTCATATCTTTATGCATTATTTTCAACTGTAAGAATTATATTTATGTATCTTATCCTCACATTCAGGCATTTCTGGAGCAAAAACTTGTGGAATTTGATAGAATGGAGGGGTTGAATCATTTTGTTTTGACTGATTCCGATATAGCAGTGGTTGATGATCTTGGACATATATTCAAAAAATATCCCCATTGCCATCTGGCTCTTACTTTTCGGAATAACAAAGGGCAACCTTTGAACTCTGGGTTTGTTGCGGTAAGAGGAACCAGGGATGGCATCACTAAGTAAGTTGACAGCAATTGAATAGATCGTATTATAGAAAGCCAGCAAACTTCAAATTAAACTCTCTTTTTTCAGAGCTGTGGAATTCTTGAAACAAGTCCTTGAAGCTTACAGCTTAAGGCTTCCCGTATGCTTGGTGACCAATTAGCACTGGCATGGGTTGTCAAGTCTCATCTACCATCGGCTTTTGGAAAATTTTCTAAGCATGAGGCATTTACTGGTGAAGTTAATGGAGCATCTGTTCTCTTCTTGCCTTGTGCTGTTTATAATTGGACCCCGCCTGAGGGTGCTGGACAGTTTCATGGTATACCCTTGGATGTTAAGGTATAACACTTTTCTTGCTTGTAAGGGACTTAATATGTCAAAGTTTCTCTTTTTCTTCATGTAAATATTTTGGCCTAACATTAATAAAAAATAGTTTCTGCAGGCTCCTTGTTACACATGAATACATGATGCTAAATTGCTCATATAGATGAGAAAACTAGAAAGATTGGTTCACCGTTACTTTTTAACGCATATATGGCATTTATAGTTCAATAGTAAATTTCTGAGTACTGTGATAATACTGTGCATTGTGGATTCATGATGTTTTCTTTTGTTATAAGCTATGCTCCAATTTATGACCACTTTGTCAGCATGCGAATATGGGTCGTTCTTCCAGGATTATACTAATCCAATAAATGTGCATGTTGTGTAACATTGTTGTATATGCTTTCTATTTATTGTAACATCCAGAATAAATCTTGTATTGTTTTGAGGTTGTCCATTTCAAAGGTTCAAGAAAGCGTTTGATGCTCGAGGGATGGAATTTCTACAACTCAACCTCTAAGCTGTCTGATATGCTATGCATAATCTTGAGAAGTGGCCGGACGAAATATGACTTCTGAACTTTTGGTTAAAAACTGACATTGTATCCTCCCTCACTCTCACCCTCATGATCTTTATTCTTTACTGAACTAACCTGATTATTAGACATTTAGACTTTGTCCTTTGGTATGAAGTGTTCTGTTAACAAGTTTATCTTTTCTTTACAGTTGATCCTACTAAAAGCTGTTGTGTGCTCCTCAACTAATACAAAAGTTGCTGACCATGGGATGTTGTCGCAAGAATTAAGAATTTGGATCAGCATAAAATGGACGAGCATCTTTAAGCATGTAACAAGAATATGTTAAGCTACTTGCAGGATGCAGGGATGTGAGATTGGTGTGAAACTGTTTGATAGCTCATTAGAAGTTACAACCCATACAGGGAGAACAATACACAGGGTGACCATGTAGGGATTCACCATTTGTTCTTTTGGTTTATCCCTTCCTGTTGAATATGTTATTTGGTTCCCCATCACTGTACACTATATCTAGGTGGTAGTAAAGGCAATTTCGCCATCGGATATTATTACTGGCGCTGTTTCAAGGTGCCACCGGCAAAATTTGTGCTGTTTGCGCTTTGCAGATGCTTTATGCCGTCACTGCATTTTTCACCTGTTCCGTAGTGTTAGTACTTCCAAGTTTTTGCAACAATGTTGTTGTGAACTGTCCTTCCTTGTGCTGTTCGGTTGATGGTTTCTGCGGCTGATAAGCCGGCTGAAGCTGATTTGTTATGAGAGAAAAATATTGTTCCATGGTTGATAAGCTAGGCTGATAAGTTCAAGCGATCTGTCACAATGGCTGGTCGGTCGATACGAGGTTCTTCACTAGCCGTGTCGAGACTCGAGGAGAAGGCAGACGAGGTTCTTCACTAGCCACGGTGGGGAGAAGGCGACGACCATGGCAGCTCCTGGCCACCTCCAATGGCCGGAGGCGGTGCTCGGGGACATCCCCTCCGGCAGCGACGAGTTCGGGTTCCTGGATATCTCGCCCATGTCGTTCTCGGCCATGTTCTAGGAGCAACATGTAGGGGTGGGCATGGAGGTGGCGAAGTGCCCTGCACTGCTGCGCTGGGTGAAGAGGTGCGCCGAGAGGGAAGCGTGCAGGACATGTGCGCCATAAGGAGGCACTAGCGTCTCGATGTCCGGCCTCAGCAGCGCGTCCGGACGCAGCTCCTCACCCGTACGATACGATCCACAGGAGCCCGTCCGATACGAGCGACTCACCCTAGCCTTCCCACAGCGCGCGGTTCGTCTTCCCACATCACGCCTGTCCACAAGCGCTGACCGTGTCGGCCCCCAGCCCGCCCCATCCACAACCCCCAGGACGCTGCGCGCCCTATCTCCCGGCCCCAGTGCGCCTGTTCCGCAACCCCCCTGGCTCGTCACACCCCATCCCCTGACGCCCGGGGCGTGCCCACATGACTCTTTGGACGTATCTCTGAAACATGAAACATTTGCGACATTAGAACACTTGAATGCAAATATGTCTGAAGGAGATGAAACATTTGGAACATGCACATGCAACATATGTATGAAACATATGCAACATCTAGATTAAACACTTGCAACTTGGAACATAAAAAACACTTACGACAACATTTGGAACATACTGTTGCAGCATATGTGTGAAACATATGCAACATTCAAATCAGAATGCTTGCAACATACGTCTAGAACAGACGAAACATTTTGAACAAACGCAACATGCCTCTGAAACACTTGCAACATATGCAACATGTGCAAACATCCCCGATCTACTTTTGCAACATCCATATGAAACAATTGCAACATACCTCTAAAACGTTTGAAACACCTGAAACATGCATTTGCAATATAGAAGAGGGGAGGCCTGGGTCGGTCGATTCTGGTCGTCGAGGTTGGCGGTGAGCGACCACCACCAGCATCTAGCCGCGCTCGTGAGATCCCTAGGCTGGGCAAGGGACGGCCCAAGGCTCCCTAGCACGTGTGCCCAGCGGCCATCAGCAGGGGCGGCGGCGGCGAGGCACCGCGGCGGCCTTGGGGATGGGAAAAAGGCCGAGGAGGCACTCTGCTGTCAGCGGACGCGAGATAGAAAGTGAGAGATGGGGAGAGCAGGGGCGCGATGAGGGATGGCAGCGGCGGGCGGGCCGCGCAAGGCGGAGGTCAAATCCCCATGGACTGGGAGCGCGACGAGCGGGCGAGCAACAGGAGCGAGCAGCACGGGCAAAAAGCGGCTAGACAAAGTGTGACGCACGACGTCCAGATGGATGGACGCCCGCGTGGAGCATTATCGGCGCCACAAACAAAGAGTTATATCACATTGAGTGAACACACCACTTAAATCCTAGCTGCAAACGATCCAAAAGTTTTTCAAGTTCAAGATGCTGCATCCACTCACTACGGGATACAGAAGCTTTGCCGAGTGCTAGGGGCATTCGGCAAAGCCCCCAAAACACTCGGCAAACCGTTTGCCGAGTGTTACACTCGGCAAACGACACTCGATAAACGGTTTAACAGCAAACGCTGTTTTGCCGAGTGTTTTTTGTCGGGCTTGCCGAGTGCCCCAAAAACACTCGGCAAACATTTTTTGAAAAATAAAATAAAAAACAAGCACCAGCCACCGGCCTCCACCACCACCCATGCCGCCTCCCCGTAGCCGCGCCGTCCTCCCCATGACGCCCGATGCAGCCACACCACCTCCCCACTGTCCCGCCGTCCTCCCATGCTGGATCTGCCGCTCCTGTGCTGGATCCCACCGTGTCCGCCGTTGTCGAAGCCACCGAGCTAGATCCGCGCCGCCACCGAGCGAGGGTGGGAGTCTAGGCCCACGTCGCCGTGCACCTCCATGGGTGGGGGCGCCCCGCCATGGATCCACACCGCCGACGCTGGTGGGGGCCGGTGAAAGCTCTAGTTTGGTTTTGGCTAATTGATGAAACCCTAAGTGCTAACCTAGTTTATCAAGATGATTATGAGATAGGTAGCACTACTCCAAGTGATGAAGCAATGATGAAGATCATGACAATGGTGATAGCATGGTGATGATCAAATGCTTGAACTTGGAAAAGAAGAAAGAGAAAAACAAAAGGCTCAAGGCAAAGGTATAAAATGTAGGAGCCGTTTTGTTTTAGTGATCAAGACACTTAGTGAGTGTGATCACATTTAGGATAGATAGCCGTACTATTAAGAGGAGTGTAACTCGTATCGAAATGCGGTTATCAAAGTGCCACTAGATGCTCTAACTCATTGCATATGCATTTAGGATCTAGTGGAGTGCTAACACCCTTGAAAATATTTGTGAAAATATGCTAACACATGTGCACAAGGTGTTTGCAGGGTTGAGATGGGTTTGGGTCCCTCTCTCCCTCCCGCCGAGCTTGCGAGGCGGGATTCGGCGTTTTTGGAAAAATGAAATGTCTATTTTCTATTGCGTCGGATGCAAAATTCTTGGTGGTTGGCACATTTAAGCAAGGGTGAAGAAGTTAGAATTGAAATGGAGTTGGTCGAAATGATGCTGGCGTCGGTCTACTGACCGGACGCTGGGTCACTCAGCGACCGGACGCTGAAAGGCTGCGTCCGGTCGAGCTGTCAAACGGCACAGTGGGTAGGGTTGAGCATCGGACGCTGGTCTGCGTCCGGTCAAGGTGGACCGGACGCGTCCGGTCGAAAAAACATGCCTCGGGGAGCTTACTGGAAATGACCGGACGCTGGGGCTTCAGCGTCCGGTCAGTTTTGACCGGAGCGTCCGGTCAGCTTCGTAGCCGTTGAAATCTGACGAACAACGTTTGAAGCTGGTGACGCATGGCGTCCATCGGGCGACCGGACGCTGAGGGCCAGCGTCCGGTCGGTATGACCGGAGCGTCCGGTCAGAGCGTGTTTTGCCCAGTGAAGGGGTACAACGGCTCTATTTGATGGGGGCTCTATTTATAGCCCTATGGCCGGCTCAAGGGACATCTCTTGCACATTTTCATTGACATAGCAACCTTGTGAGCTTAGCCAAAGCCCTCCCACTCATCTCCATCATTGATCCATCATCATTGTGAGATTGGGAGAGAATCCAAGTGCATTGCTTGAGTGATTGCATCTAGAGACACTTGGTATTCGTGTTGCGCTGCGGATTTCGCTTGTTTCTCTTGGTGGTTGCCACCATCTAGACGGTTGGAGAAGTGGTGAAGGATCGGCACGAGTTAGTGATTGTTCGTGGCCGCCTTCGGTGATTGTGAGGGGAGTTGTACCTTCCCTGGCGGAGTGCCGAAAGGTAACTCTAGTAAATTGCTCGTGTCATTGAGTTACCTCACTTGTGGGTCGGTTTTTGCGGTGTCCAATCGTGTGGATGAGGTTTGTGAAACACCTCTTAGCCGCCGAACCACCAAGTGTTGGTCGACACAACAGGGACGTAGCGTGTTGGCAAGCACGTGAACCTCGGGAGAAAATCGATTGTCTCTCTTCTTTGTCATTCTCCCGGTGATTGGCTATATATTCATCTTGT